GGGGCCGCCCCTGGCAGGCCCGCGCATCCTTCCCCTGCTCCGGGCCGGGCCGGGCCGGGCATGGCCGGGCTGCAGGTGCCCCGCGTGTCCGCCGCACGCCCTGCTGGGTTACCCTTCCCTTTGGCTTGGTCTGGGTTCGGCTCATCACCTTACAGTTGACAGTGTGAGCTTGGTCGGTTTTTTAAGATCTGTTTTTTCATAGAATCACAAAATGGTTTCGGTTGGAAGGGATCCTAAAGGTCAAATAGTTCCAACTCCCCTGCCCTGGGCAGGGAGACCTTCACTAGGATCAGGTTGCTCCTAGCCTCATTCCGAATTTCTTAATTTTTCAGATTATGAGTTTTTGAGGGCTGTAGGCACCTACAGAATGGTGTGTTTATAAGACTTAAGAGCAGGCCTTGCATGGACACCAGGCACACCTTTAGAGATTTAGAATGAGTTAGGCGGCTTTTGAACTGCACTGACTCCTGCAGAAACATTTCCACCCCTTGCTACTAATTGAGGGCAAATTATTCTGCCTGTAATTTGTAGAAAAGGTCTTTTCTAGAAGTGCAAATACAGCTCTGCAAAGAAATATCAGTTGAGTTTGTAAAATCAAAACCTCAGTCCTGCTTTCCTAAGAACCTAATTCTGCTAATACATAGTATTAAGCTTGAATATAGCAATAGCTTTCTTTGAGAATAGTCTATGAGATTTCAGTCTCCAATATACATGTCTCCAGCATTCCTGTTCCAGAATTACAAGATTCTTTCATGGGTTATTAGTATTTCTGCGACACAATTGTGAAGCGTGAATTTGTATGAAGTCATGGAAATTGCACTTAAAAAGTGTCATTCACAAGGGAAAATTTAATTATACATTCTTAAATGATTCAGCATGAAGAGTCTTGATCAAACATGATGCACTTTCATAATATAGTTGTTAAGTCATAAGACATGAGCAGTATGATATATTCTTAGAATATCTGTAAATAAATGTGTGATAGTGACCAAATTTGCATTTAATTAATTTTTTACATTTCTCCTTGTGCTGCCTTCCCAAGTGTTTTGCTCAGGTTTGCTCATTTTACAAGCCCAGGTTTATAGTCCAGGCATCTCAAAGGGTTGTTTGACTTCTCTGGAAAAGGACATGCCCTGTCTCGCACTGATTAAGCCAGTGCAGCTCAATCCGTGATGTTCGCATAAGGCTCTCTATTTTTTAAAGTTAGGTGTAATTTTAGTGTAGTTAATGCAGTTCACCCCAGGGAGCAGCTCCCCAGCTATGGGAAGGCAAGGCTGGCTTCCTGTACCTGGAGTATCTGTGTAGTTTGTTGATGCTAGATCCCCTGCACCTCAGCCTTTTTTTTTTATATGTCTGGAAACTTTGTCCACTCTATCTTTCATTCTTGTATCACGGATTCTGAAGCTATATTCATGTTGAGTAATGTCCTGTGTCACCACAGTCTTGTTCTGCTCATTACCAATGGATTGCCCTGCCCATAAGAGTCTGTACCAGCAAGGCATTGCGCATCTATAAGGGATGCAGGACAAACTCCTGAATCTACTAAAAGGAAAGTTTTGGAAATGTCTTTAACACTGGATGAATTCACATCTGGCCAAGTGGATGTGGGAGTGAATCCATCACAAACATATTTAGCCAGCCTGGTATGCAACTTAATGAATATAAGGACCAACCTTTCTGGTGATGGGATTGCTCAGTTGGAGAGAAGAGTGTTTTTCTACTTAGCCAGGCTGAAGTGGACAGGCTGATGGAACAGGAGTGGATTGTGTGGGTTTGTGTGGTGCATTTTAGAAGCCCTTTTCAAATTGTTTTGGCCATATTGCAGTGCTGTGCTGACTCATATTTGTCTCGACCTACTTTTCTCCAATATGTAAAATAGGTCCAGATATGGAGACTGATGAGAGTAAAAAATCTGTTCTGTGAAAATTGAGTTCTCAATAGCTTTCCTTTAGCAACAACTTCAACTAGCTTTGTAATGAAATAATGAGATGAAAAAAGTGTTTTGTTTTGGCATGGTGTCATTTTCAAACAGGTTACTTCCCCATTCTGCACTGTCTCATTCCAACATCATGTCCAATGCTTTTGACATTTGACAGCGTTGTGAGTAATAGATCCATAATGTGTTTCCTTATTAAGCCTTAATATTGTGGGGGACTATCAACCTGAAATTTCTTTTTGACTTCTGTTTGTCCTGAAGTCAAATTGATTAATTACTTAGTTCTGTTTATTCCAGTTTGTATGGAAGTTTAAATATCCCAATATATGGAAAATTTTATTTTTAGATCAGTGTGTTTTAAAAACCCAACTAGCAGCATAAAAAAAGGCAATTTCCATACTGCAGGAGTCATAGCCCTGGGGTAGAAACTAATAATCTATCAAAATAAAAGTGTAATTATACTTAGTGTATATGGATTTTTGCCTTGATATTTGTAACACTGTGTTCCCTTTGGTGTTGTTTATGTACTTAGAAAAATATTTAAAAATAAAATACTTCATTTTACATAATTATAACTTGTTTTAATAAAATCAGTATATAATATCACTGACTAGCAAAAGGGAGATAATTTTACAAGGCTTAAAGGAATTTCTTGGGACACATGATGCCAAGGTTTGCTGCTCTCTAATTGTGTTGTCCTGTTTGACAGGTGGAACTTGACATCTTGTGGGACGAGTGTGGCCAGCTCGGAGTGCAGTGAGGAGCTGTTCTCATCCGTGTCAGTGGGGGATCAGGATGATTGTTACTCTCTGCTGGATGACCAGGAGTTCACCTCTTTTGATCTGTTCCCCGAGGGCAGTGTCTGCAGTGATGTCTCCTCTTCTATCAGCACATACTGGGATTGGTCAGACAGTGAGTTTGAGTGGCAGGTAAACTGGTTCCACTGGAACTGTAAACTTTTGTGTAAACTATTGCATACTGGATTTAGCTGTAGTTGAAAAGTAATAGACTAGAATATCCTGAGTTGGAAGGGACCCACAAGGATCACTGAAGTTCAGCTCCTGGCCCTGCACAGGACAAGCCCAGGAGTTACACCCTGGATCTGAGAGTGTTACCCAAACACTCCTTGAACTCGGTTAGGCTTAGCGCCCTGGGGAGCCTGTTCCAGTTCCTGACCAGCCTCTGGGGCAAGAATCTTTTCCTCATACCTAACCTTAACCTTAACCTGGCATCCTGCTGTTCCCTTGTGTCCTGTCACTGGTCACCAGAGAGAAGAGATCACTTCCTCCCTCCCCCTCCTCTTCCCCTCTTGAGGAAGCTGTAATCAACTATGAAGTCTTCCCTCTATCTCCTCTTCTGAACAAACCAAGTGACCTCAGCACTTGTTTCTTTGTAACTACTGAACATAGGAGCACATATCTGAATCTTGAATGATAGAAAAAAATGTTTTGTTTAATTTTATTCCAACCTCCTTAATCAGGATGAGAGACTGAAGGCCAGCTCTCCAAAGAAGGACATTTAGGTATTATGGTTGGTTGGTTTTAGGGACTGGTATGTGTTTCTTTTAGCCATGAGCTTAGACCCTCTGTACTGAGGATCTACCCTGCTAACGAAATCTGGTTATAGATATCTGCTCCTACTGAAATTTTCTAGGTAAAGTGTACAAACTCTTGCCATAGCTTATGTCTTATTTTCATATTTTTTTTCTATGCCAGTAAGTACAGAGCTCATTTTATCTCACCAGGATGGGAAAAGTGTAAAGGTGAATCACATCCTTATCCCTAGTCTGTGCTGGATGCAGTCCTTTTTGGGTATTTCTAGTTTGTGATAGACTTCCCTGTTCAGCAGTTTTTCAAATGTGGTATACATTTTTAATATATTAGAGGTCTAAATTGACTTTTTTATATTAAAGACTTAAGTCAACTATGAATGTGTACATAACTTTGACATAAGTGACATAGGGTTTCAGAATTTATTGGGGAATACTTTAAAGTTTTGTCATAAAACATAGTCTAAGCATGTGGAGAGTCTTCTAAGGATAGTATAAGAACTGAAAACTGATTTCAAAAAAGCTCAGATCCTGTCCCAGAAAATGCAAGTGAACTTGAGATGTGTACTGAGATCAGCTTTGAATTTCTGACTGGTATAGTCCAGCTACTGGTCTCAGTGTATGTTATACCACTGAAGTTACAAGTGTGTCTGTATAATGCAGCCTGTAGGAACAGCTCATGTTGGATCCCAGAGATTCAGAACTTCACTGATTTGTGAAATTTCAATTCTCTGATAAACTTGGCAATTGTTTTGAAAAGAAGCCATTTCCTATGCCTTAGCTTGCTGACAGTATATTTGATTGGTAACTGGCTTTTTTATTACTTTGTTTTTTAAAACAAGCCTTTGTTAAGAAACTTATTTGATTGGATTTGTAGGATTTTGGAAAGACTTTTTGTAGCTCTTTATGGTGTTATCTGTCAGAATCTGAGCACAAAAAAATCCAGCTGTCCTATTTTAACTGGAAGTGCAGAAATCACCTATCAGTTGTATAAATGAAGCTACCTGAAGTTTTCAGTTGCTTCTAGGCAAATTACAGTGATTTTAATTGAATTGTCTTGTGTGATGATGGAGTTTGTTAGGAATTTCAGACCTACTTCAAAATTATCTTCCTTAAACTAGACTTATGCTCCAAAGCATTTGATTTGGGTTTAGATTGTAATGGACAGTTTCCACAGATGGAGAAGGAAAATAGTTGTAATGTGTCTTCAATCTGCTGTTTTCTTAAACACAACTTTTTAAAAAGAGGATTGATACAGAATAGTGTGAATTAAGTTTGCTGCACTTGTTGTTTGTGGGAAGATTCAAGGGAGTGTTGCAGATTTATGAGTAATTAGAGTTTGTTAAAGTACAGAGATAATCAATGCTTTACTAATTTGAGGGTATGTTTTGAATTGTTAATAGTGTTAGAATGATTTACAATCTGCCTACTGTATTCTAAAGCTTTGTTCTTCCTTTTGCATGTTACAAGTTGCCTGGCAGCGACATTACAAGTGGGAGTGATGTGCTTTCTGATGTTATACCGAGTATTCCAAGCTCTCCCTGTCTGCTTCCCAAAAAGAAAAACAAGCATAGGAATCTTGATGAACTTCCATGGAGTGCAATGACAAATGATGAGCAGGTGACTTTTTTCCTATGTGAGAATTGCAATGTACAGAAGAACTTCCAATTAAAAGACAAAACTTGAAGGCCATCCTGTTTGCTGTAGGTGTGAATGCAGACCTATGCAGTATTACTTGATTCTTAAAACTAAGCCTTGTCCTTTGGATCTATAGAAGGCAGCTTAATGCCTACTCAAATTTTCACCCTAAGTTTTTAAGGATACTAGAACCATGATATTTGTGCATGCTTTATTCTGTTGGTTCTTTCTTTTTTCTGTCTCTCATTTAGAATCAATAATGCTTCAAAATGACTTGCCTTTCTTTGGGTCCTAGGTTGAATATATTGAATATTTGAGTCGCAAAGTCAGTACAGAGATGGGCCTTCGAGAGCAACTTGATATTATTAAAATTATTGATCCTACTGCTCAGATCTCACCTACAGATAGTGAATTCATAATTGAATTAAACTGTCTCACAGATGAAAAACTGAAACAGGTGAGTTAAGGTTTGTACATTTGACTTTATGGTTTCAGCATCTGATTGTATCTTGCAAAATCTTAGACTTGTGATCCATTTTTATGCATAATCATTATGTGTAGGGAGAGACAGTAGAGCACAATACTGTCAGTGACAGAAAATAGAGTTCAAAAGCATATTGTATGTATTAAACCTTTACATGAAAGACTGATTGTATATTCTCATTATGTGTTAAGCCAGAGCAGGTGAGTGTGTAATGAGTTATGTTGTGGACCTGGTGCTGCTTATGGGACTGTACTTCCACTTCATGACCATCAGCTAGCTGAGAGTCTTCATTTGCTTACTGAATGTAAACTAGCATTTAAAACTCCAAAACTTTGGAATTCATTGGGGAAGACCATAAATTTCATGTAGAAAGGGATAGAGAATAATGCATTTTAAGGATGTTACAAGATGCAAATTATAACCAAGAAGGGTGCCTGGCTGATAGGTTAGATACATCCTACTGTCTTCTCAGTTACTGAATTATTGAGATGTGTTGTTTGGAATAGACACAGTGTCCAAGCAAACTGAACTCCTCAGCGTTGCACTGATAATGATGAAGATAAAATTGAAAATGGAAACATTCACTGTTTTATGGGCCTTGTCTGTTACATATTTCGAGCATTTTGTGTCATCTTAAAGTAGAATAGTGCTTCTTCATTTACACACACTTTTTTGAGTATACTCAGCAAAATAAAGGGGTTTGATGCATTAAGTAAACAACTTAGTTCAGTTAAACTTGTCTGACATTTCTGTTTGATATTAGAAGAATAACATATTGTTACATAGTCACAAACATGACAGGCAACCCCCCTAACCCTTGCTACTTATTTTTCTTCCTGTGATATGTCACAAATGTTAACTTAGTTAAGTTCTCTGGGCAATTCCACATCCCTTGGGATTTAAGCAGCCACAGGAAAATGTTTTAAAAGCCTACCTGAACTGACCCAATAACTTCATCATTATTAATAGGCAGTTTGTGTTTTTTCCATGAAAAGGAGTATCTCATTGCAGCATTTATCAAGCTATAGTAATTCTGCTGCCTCTGTTCTAAAGGTGAGAAACTATATCAAGGAACATGGACCTCGCCAGCGGTCTGCGAGGGAGAGCTGGAAGAGGAACAGCTACAGCTGTGCCAGTACCAGTGGTGTGAGTGGTGCCAGTGCCAGCAGCAGCAGTGCCAGCATGGTCAGCTCAGCAAGCAGCAGTGGCTCCAGCGTTGCCAACTCCGCCTCAAACTCCAGTGCCAACATGAGTCGAGCGCACAGCGACAGCAATCTGTCCACAAGCGCTGCAGAAAGAATCCGGGATTCAAAAGTAAAGTTTCTAGTTATGTATATCTGTATTAATTAAGCTGTTTTAACTCCTGAAGCCTGCTTGTGGGATCTTACCTGGGATGTTTGTCCCAAAGGAACAGAGTAACTGAGTTATCTAGCTAAACCAACATAAGGAGTTTAAACTTCCCATCACTTCTTAACTGAAAGCCTGATGTTTTTGTGTAGTAGATATTCTAATTCCTTTTGTTTAGGATGAGTGGCCTTGAATAAGGGCTTATGCATCTAACTTAAGAAAAAAGTTGTTTAAGAATCACCACCCTAATCTAGGCATAATTTCTGGACAGTAGAGACAACCTTGATTTGGTTTGTTTTTACTCAACTAGAAGTTTCATCAGGCTTTTAAAATCTTTATTTTTTAAGCATGTCTCATGAGATTTTTTTGTGAGAAGGGACCCTCTGAAGCATGTTTCATTTCAAGTAGTACTGTGGCACTCCTTCTGTCCTATAGTTTTAATTTCAAGTGTGAATGAGAGGAGCAGTTCTTGCTCTTCAGCATCATGGGTTTATTAATGTAAGATTGTAACATTTCTCCAGCAATAAAGATTCCTCCAATCCAAGACTTGACTATGCAACATCACAGGGTAATGTTGTGCCTCATAATTCAGTTGTGGTAAATGGTCTTGATATTTTCATATTATGAAATAATATGATTTTGTATGATTGTATGATTTTGTATGAATGTTTATGTTTACACCACCTCTGAGAATTCCTATTTGTTATTTTAGAGGTTAATTTATATTTGCCAGCTTTTGAGATTTTTTTTCTAATTTACAGAACAAAATCTTATGTTTTGTCTCTTCTGTATTTTGACAGAAGCGTTCCAAGCAACGGAAACTCCAGCAAAAGGCGTTACGGAAGAGACAGCTGAAAGAACAAAGACAAGCTCGTAAGGAAAGACTGAGTGGATTATTCCTTAATGAAGAAGTGCTGTCTTTAAAAGTGACTGAGGAGGACCATGAAGGAGATGTGGATGTTTTAATGTGACAGGGGTGAATTTATCAGTGTTCTTTCTAAGCCTTAAATGTATTATCCTTATTGTTTACATATATTTCTTGACCAAATTTGGATTAGTGTTAACAATACAAACCAGATGTTTTCTCAAGTGTAATTTTGCTAAGAAGGTCTAAGTATTGAGTAACTTCAGCTTTTTGAGACTAATTTTGCAACAAAGAATTCAGAAACTTATCTGTCTTCTGAAAGGCTGCTGAATAGATATGATTTTAAGGATATTTGAACTTGGCTAACATGCTAACTTACTTGCACGTAAGTCTAGGGGTGCTTTTGGATGACACAAAGCATGCATTACTATGCTTCAGCATTTTAGGTTTTTTTTCCAACTTAGAGATAGTATTACACTTGGCTTTTTCTGTCTTCCTTTCCCATTATTAGGAAGATTGTTTAGCATGAGGAAAAATCTTTTGCTCTGTGGGGTTTTCTTCAGCCTTGCTCTTGATTTGTACAAAATCAAAGTACTATTGATACTTTTCTAAAAGTTGTGATTTAACTCAAACTACACAGAAAACAAGAAGCAGGACATCTAATGCAGAGAATCTGTAATACAAATACTGCCTAATAATGTAGTTCTTAGGAACCAACTAAAATTTAAAAAACAACCCTCAAAATAATTGCGGGCTTTGTCTTCAGAAGGTTATTTTGCTGCTCAGTATCTTATGATTGTTACTAATGGTTCACCAGCACATCCCTAGTATTTCTGTGAAAAGATTCCAATAAAAACACATTTATGCACTAATCTACAATTAAGTTGTCTAGGACACTACTTAAAATAGTTAAAAACACTACTGGAAACAGAAGTGCAAACAAGTGGCACACAGCTTGAGTGGTTTTCTTCCCCAGAAGCATATTTAAATAGATTCATATTGTTGACAAAAGAACTTAATTAATGCAGCTGTACTTTTTTAATTGTATGTTTAGCTGAGGTTGTCTTCTGTGTGGGTCGTTACGCCATGACATTTATCAGAATTCTCCTTCTGCTGTCTATCAGCTTTTGAAATTTCTCATGATAAGAAAATTAGGTAAAATTGTGGCTTTCAGGTAGGGAAGTAGTAGTAGTTTCAACCTTTTTCTTAATTCTGACAATCTTTAAGATGATTTTAGTCTTTATCTTGGAACTAGTTTTATAGAACTCCTTCCCCACATGGCTGAGATAAAAATGATAATTCTAAATTTTAATGTGAAATTTAAAACTTTATAAAAGCATTTTTGAGTTCTGAGTTTAGGAAATATTTTTTTACTATGTTGATGCTTCATTACTTTAATTGTGCTCTTGAATTAAGGAGTTTGACTGACAGTTTATCATGGCCACAGGTGTCTGTAATTGTAGGATACAGCCCAATCCTGCAGAATGCATGTTCAGCTTTAGGACTACTGATATTAATGTTCTGTGTCCTGCACAGTCTTATTAGCCCTGACAGCTGAGGTATTTTTTTTTCAGAAGTGGCATTCCTTTTAGCCTCAAAATAAACTGACCAATAAATTATCTGAACAATGGCCTCTGAAAGGGTTTTGATAAGAAATAAATGAGGTCCATAGTCAAACTAATATGTTTGAACTTAATGCTGCTCTACAACAAGTCCCCAGGCTTAGCCATTGAGTGACAAAAGGCAAGTAATGTCATTTTAAGCTCATGTTAGCTATCCCATATAGCCAGTTATTTGTCCACTAACCACAGGTGTCTGTGACCTGTCAGTATTTGCTTGTACTGCACTGTTGCTGGTTGATGCCTCACTCCTGTATAACCAATACTGAAAACTTCTTAACACTATACACTTTACTGAGAATTTAGATTGACTTAGATCTGGATCTTCTTTTAAATACTTTGTATGGAAGATAAAATTTAATTGCTATCAATTTGGATAATTTCAGGGTGTGGTTGTTAAACTCTTCCATGGTAATGGATGAATTCATCATGAAATACTTCACCATGTGTACACTGTCACAGTTCAGTACAACCTTTATTTTCTGCAGTGACTTTGAAATGTGATTGAATTTTTTTTCTGAAGAAAAATGCACACTTTATACTGTAGAGAATTGAAACTCTGAAGTGAATTGTAAGAAAGGTGCAATATCTCAGTGTGGTGGAGCATGAAAGTGTGCCACTTTATTCTGTTTCAGCAGTTATTCAGAGTTTAAAATGCCTCAGGGTTTTGTTGAGAGAACACCCCATCATTTTGATGAGGTACAGTTCATTCTGGTCACCTGTCTACTAGCTTCCAGAGATCATGAAGTGAGGGAGGATAGTATTTCCATCATAGTGTGAGCATGTAAGTATAAATTATTCTAAGTGTTTAGGTGGGTCCAGTTGCTCATCTGTTACATTGGACAAAAAGGTCCTGGGTGCCAGAATAGCTGATTGTGCTTTGTTGTCTCCAGCAGGTACTTCAGTCACGTGTGACAGTTAAAATGATAGAAGAGAGTGGATTTCCAGGGATTCCATGCTAATAATTTATAGCTCTGAGATCTCACAGATCCAGGATGCTCATTAGAATACAAAGAATACAAAACTCTGAATTTCTGCAGAATAACATCTTGCTTACCCTGAATGTTCTTTGCCAAGTACTCAGAGATATAATGTCTTTTCCTGATCTCAGAGAAACAGGCCTGAAGTGACTGTGGGATTCAAGAGTTCTCACATACTTTCACACATCTGGTTTTTTTTCCCTTTTGTTTTCTCATCCCCTGTAGTTCCAGTGACACACTCTTTTTATGGTGGGGGCAAATTTTTTGTCAGATTCATGTTTTTCCCTGCAGCATGCTCAATGCTTACTCAGGAATACCCCATCCATGGTGGTTTGAAAAGACATGTAAATATGGCACTAAGAGACACGATTTAGTGGTGGGCTTGGCAGTGTTAGATTTACAGTTGGAGGTGATGATCTTAAAAGGACTTTTCCAATCAAAATCTATGAATTTCTATGAAATACCCATGGTATTAGTCAAACAGTTGGAATGTCAGTAAAATCTGGTCTTGCTGATTTAAGTTTTGGCCATTGTGGCTACAGGTGTAACTACTGGGTTCTGATGAGGAAGAGTAACAGACCGCTAAAATAATGAATCCTTGTTGTGGTTTTTCTCAAAAAATAAATCCCTGCGTTTTATTAATAGAGAAAAAATGTCAAGCTTAAAAATAACACAGAGACACGGGAAAAAGCTCATAGTTACATGGCTTCATGGTACCTAAACTGTTTCTGTAGGAACTTTGTATCCACTGCAGTGTGAATATAATCATTTTACACTCTGTAACAATAACAGTTTGCTTCCATGGTAACTTTTTCTCTAAAAAGGCTTAGAAGGAGCACTGAAAGTTTGATTGCAATAGGACTGTAAACAAGAGAGAACATTATTTTCTAATATGATTTTAAATATGAGGAAGAAAGTTGGCAAACTTGGCTGATTTCTTTGTATCTAATGTCAACTTTTGTTAAGATACCGATTTTTTTTTTTTTTTTAATTTGGGAAGCTGATAAAGAGATGGTTACAATGTGCTCAGTATAGGGTGCTTACTCAGAAGAGCAGGAAAAGTCTTTGCAAGACTTTCCTGAGCTCAAATGTTAGTTCTCATATTGTGGTTTGAAGCCTGTGAAGATCATTCTCTGGGGAGAAAACAAACCAACCAACCTGCTTGAACTTACATGCATTTACATCAGAGTGCATATACAATATTGAAAGATAAAAATGGCAATATTTACTGTTCATCTATGCTGAATGTCCTGAAGCCATTTCTTTTCTCCTAACACTCTTTCATCTTTGAAATCAGTTGATGCATTGGTCTATAAATATTAATAAACCTGACTGTTTTGGGAGCTTTTAAAGTTCATTCATATAAGCCAGATTTTCATGGCAAATGTTGTTAGATTTATTGGTTTAATGTTCTTAAACTGACTGATCTTGCAGTTAGTTCTTGGGCACAGAAAAGTCAACAGTTGTCCATTTAAGGATTGCAAAGATTAGTTTATTAATCTATCAAGGGCAAATCTAAGTAATATTCAAAGTTTGTCTATTTTGACTGTTAACTCTGATGAATCATATTTGCATTCTCTCTCATCTGGCTAACTTTAAAATATTTCCATACGACAAATAAATTCTTCAGTGTAAAAAAACCCAATTGTGATATTGAAGCCTTGAAAATAGTTAATAACCAAAGCAAGGGGAAGGTGGGTTTTTTGTTTGTTTTGGGTTTTTTTTGTGGGGGAGAGATGATATAGATTAGAGTATATGGTATTGCTTAAATTGAGGGATTTTTTCCCCAGGTTCTCTGCTAATTATATGGCTAAAATGCACTTTTGTATAGAAAACCGTTCTCTGTACATTCTGTATCTACTTACACAATGTTTATAGAGATTTTTCTGAAGTTGTGAAGGATTTACTGAAAGCTCTGATGCTGTTGAATTCAAGTTTTCATTGTATTTGAAAATAGTTATGTGCATATTGAAGTACAGGTTGGAATTAAAATTAATGATATAGCAAAGGTATTCTTATGCAATGATGTGGTATCTTCTTCAGAGCAGGGGAATTTGTATACAGGACCTGCGGAGTCACTCTTCAGGCAGAAAATACAAATAAAGTGGCACATCTTAACTGTTCTTGATGACAGAAAGCAAACTGGTCACCCCTTAGCTAAAGGGGTTTGTTAACCACAAAATCTGACAAGAATTGTTTCATAGGAAAGCAATTGTTGTGAACTCTATAACCCAAGGTAATGTACTTAAAACTGTCCTTTGTTTTGATTCCTCTGTCAGAGGTGTTTTTTGATATATATGCTCAGCACCACCAAGGGCACGGCAGTCTTTGAATAGGCAAGAGTAAGGATGCTTCCCAGCTTGTAAAAGTTGTGTCCTGAACAAAATTTGTCTTCTACAATACAGAAGTTGGAAGTATAATATTGCAAAAACTCTTTTTTCCCCTTGTAATCCAATTAAAAAATCCTGAAAACCTGCAAAGAGGATAGCTGGCATAGGGGTATATTCCTCAGCATGCAAAAAGTTTCCTGCAGCATCTCAGGGATCTCAAACCACCTTCTTTGTCTTGGCTATGGCTCATCAAACACTTCTGAGAGAAGTTGAACTGAGCAAGTGTTGCTATCCCAGTTTCTGTAGATGTCAAGGGATGGAGAAGGGCAGGGTGAAAAATGCTGCATATCACAGCAAGTCTTGTCAAACTGTGAGAGATCTTTAATTGTGAACACAGCTGTGGAAGCTCTTGCTCTTGTGGTGCTATGCCTTCACCTGAGCAGCCTGGTTGTGTTTTTTTCACCCACCCAAAGGTCAGTGACAATGTGGATTGTTTTGCAACAAAAACCAAATTGAAATGTTTCCAAGGACCTTGACCCATTGGGATGTTTGCTTGTTGTAAGGGTTGATGTTTCCTTGGATAGCACCAGAAGCTGCAGGGAAGCTGGTGCTTACACCTTCCCAGGAACTTTCCCAGTCTGTCCTTTTGCAGCAGTTCATTACCAAGGTACCAGCTGCAGGGCTGAGTGCTCTGCTGGCAGCCTGCCAGCAGCGTTACATGGGCACAACCAATGATGTTATGAATCTTATTAGCCATCCTTAAGCATTTCATTTCTCTCTCAAGAGTAGCCAGTTTCACTGCATTGAGAAAGTCACATTTGATAGCCAAACACTATTGAGGCACAAGCCTAATACAGATTTCCACACTTGCAAAATCAATTGATAAACTTGCTTTACTTAATTGACAGGGAAAGGTGTCATTGGCTATGGGCTTGCTGTCCTCAACCCACTCTTACTATATTGGCCTGAGCTGAACAATTCATCCAAACATTTTCTAGTACAAAACTAGTTACAGTTTGGTTTCCTGAGATCCTTTGTATCTGTTCCTAAAGATCCTGCACTCTACTGGTTAGAAAACATTTTTTTCATCTCCTCCTAGGACCTTTATCCATTGTAAATTTCTTCTCTAGTGCTAAAATCAAATTTAAATTTAAATCCAAATCCACATTCTGTTCTGAAATCTCATTTCATGCTCTTTCCTCCATGCTGCAGTGACACCTGGCAGCATCACTGGTGTAAGAACATTTTTCTGATAATGTAGAACACATTTCTGAAGCTGAAGCATGATAATTCATCGTGCCATTAGAGTCTTTCTGATTGTATTTCAGTGGGATCAACAGCAGTATTGCTACAAAGTTTCTGGAAGAAGGAGGATTTATTTCAGCAGCTGCAGCGCTGTGCTGATTCTCACGGTGGGTGCCTTGTTGTCAGCAGGGGGAGCGCTGCGGTCATTTACTGCATGTTAAATTACAGCTGCCAACGTTGCTTTGCTACAAACGCTTTCCTTTATTCTGTTAAATCCTGTTGAAAGATGTTAGGGGGTTTTGCTTCTCCTCTTATACTGTTTTTGAGGAAGGGATCTTTCTGTTAAGGGTCAGTTTTACAATAATAACATTTCCAGTGACTAAGAGAAAAGTTAGCTTTTTCTCTTCATTGTGATTGCTAATTCTTGCCTGGACCTGCTTATTGCAACTGAAAGGTGGAAACACACTCCTGTTTAGTGTTATGTATGCACTGTGTTGCTTTTTAAATTTCCTGATTTCTGTTTTGAATTCAGAATTCCTTGCTGGGAGCTGAGAATTTTGCAGTTGAAAATATTAGGTGATGATAGAAAACAAGCAGCCAGCTTGTAATGTGCTGTGTCTCATAATGCACACAGCTGCCTGTCCCTGGGAGGCAGTGCAGAAAAGATGTAGCTTGACCTAGCTTTATTTTTTTTAAGTAATAACATCTGAATTGGGCTTCCTTTGGAGCAGAGGAAAGTACTGCTTTCCTCTGTAGTGTTTCCTTTTCTCTTTGCTTGTCTGACAGTTATCAGTACCTTTCAAAAAGCTTACTAACACGTATGACTGCAGAGAACATGTAAGGAGTTCTCCCTGGTATCTTGGGTTCATTCTTGGAAGTCAAGCTTTAAATGGTTCTGTACAGGACTAGGAAGGCTTTGAGCACTTCTATGTGATTGCAGAGCCATCCTCTGTTGTGTCAGTAGCTGTCAGAAAAACAGTTGCAGATTCTGAAGTCTTCAACTGTAGGATATTTCCCCCAGGGAAGATGTGTGCCCAAATAATCTTGAAAGGAGGGAATAAAGTTTTAAATCATAATCACAGAGTAAGGAGATTTAAAATGTGGCAGATATTATCTATGAAGCTTGTTTTTCTTTCTATACACCTAGTTTCTGTCTATACTTCATGAGAACAGTAAGCTGTGAGTACAACATGGCAGTTCATTGCAGGAGTTGCTGAAAACAGCAAAGGAAAAGCTGAAATTAGTTCATTTTAATAGCTGGTCAGTTTTCAGGTATGGACAGCATCTAAACATAGTTTAGATAATTTTGTAGGTTCCATGTCTCCTGCATTCCAGAGGTATTTAAAGAGGCAATGTACCAGTTATGATCTTGAGGAGCACTGGAAGTATGCAGGAACTGTGGTGATGGGCATATGCTTTGAGCAATAAATCCTCATGCAGGGCAGGTTTGTGCATGTCCAGAGATTTTGTTTTTTATCCTGTTCCAAAGCTGGAGCACAGTGGTGTGTTCACTACCTGGCTGGTACTTTCTGGCAAGAGCAGTGTCAGCTGCTTAGCAGTTACTATAAATTCTTTTTGCTTAGGGTCTCACAACTCCTGGCTGGTTCTACTTGGCAACTTCTCTCTGCTCTTCTAGAACATAGACCAGTTTGGGGACCTCTGTATCCCATCTCTTTGTTACTGCTGAACAAAGCAAAACCATGTGTTAGGAAGAGTCTAAAAAGTTGTGATTATGGTGCTAAGTGACTTTCACCACACACTCAGAAGTATATTTATTATATTCAAATAATTACTCCCTGCTGAAGGTATAATTGAACATTAAAGTTCATCAAATTGTCATGTATTTATTTCATGTTCTTTAAATCATGTTTGATATTCAGACAGCTCTGCTTTGGAATAGTCCCTCTCAGTCCCTCTAGGATGGGGACCAGGGCCTATCATGTCCAGGACTGGTACAACCTATTCTTGGTAGATGGAAATCATCACTTCAGTGACAATTTATATTGACTAATTTGGTAGGCAGATAAAAAATGCGTGAGTTTATGTGAGTACTTAAATTTATTAAATTCAAGGTGAGGAAAAAAGCACTATAGTGCTAGCAAGCCTTTATGAAGTTGGAAAGAATATTTTTTCTGCCTAATTTTTAAATAAGGTGAGTTTATTTACTGAATAGAAAGTATTCACAATGTGTGTTTGACTTATAAACATGCTGCTCCACAAATGCATGCACTTCCTCCTGAAACAATTTAGGTCATAAAACTGTTTGTAGAAGTTACAAATGTTAGCCAAGCAAAAACGAAGCAGTCTAAAATCTTAGCACAAACCCATTTGTGGACTGATAAACCCATTTGTAGACTGATAAAATGAGTGTAATTTATGGTCGAGAGACCTTATTGGCATATGTATTAAAGTTTGGGGATATGTCTATTTTTCTTAGTATTGCATTAGCTGTAATTTCTATGTAATGCTTCAATTCATTTATATATTTGCACAACAGACTGTCAGATAAAAAAGTGCCAAAATGTGTATAAGGAGGTCATCACTTTAGCTTAATTGCACACAAATTTCCTGCAGACTCTGATGCTTAAGGCCAATAATGAGACTGCTACAGCTAGAATAAACGCATTAGCCTATAAATTTAGAGCTTCTACCTGCTTTGTGAAGGGAGAATCATCTCTAAATGAGCCTAGTAACATGGATTTGTGATTAATCATTTTACTTGGTGACTCATCTATGATCACAGTACAACAAAAATGTCATGTTTGCTTAGTGGCATTAGCACAATTTATCTTCTCTACATTCAGAGAATTGCCTTGTTGTCAATGTGGGACTGGGAATACAGCTGAGGAGTACTTTCGTTAAAGGACTTCTGATGTCACTTTATCAAAAGCAGAGTGTAAACAAATAAACAAAAATTTTATAACTGTTCCCTTCCTTGAAATTTAATTATTCTACTTGGTCAGGCCAAACCATTTGCAGTAATGATCTTGGATCTGTAAAACAAAACTAATTTAACCTTGAAAACTGGTATTATTCAAGTGTTCTCTGAATTTGTCTTTTTAAGGCCATCTCTGCAAGTTAACTCTGTTTTTGAGACAACTTTGCTTTCCTTGTTGCAGAGTAAACCCAGCTCATTACTAGAATGCTCAGGGCCCAGGGACTTGTGGATGTCAAGTTTGCATAGGTGTTCTCTAACCCAGTCTTTCCTGACCAAGGGGAAGTCTTCCTTCCAGCATTCCTCCACCCTGGTTTCCTGGTCAGAGGTTCCTGAGGATTGGTCTTGTCAGTGGAGGAAGAGAAAAGCCAAGGCAACACCCTCAGAGGAAACTTTGGTTTAAAGAGCAAACTGTACAACCAGAAGCTTTGGTGAGGATGAAGAATTCACACCTGCCCTGTAGTGCCTACTCAGTCTCTAAAAAGTCCAAGTTAAATCTCTGCACTAGGAATTAGGTTTAAAAAAATGAATACTTGCATCTATGCATAAATATATCTGGTCTCTGGTTATGCATTTACAGGTTCAGAGTTTCTTGTGGCTGTGGAAGCTGAAA